TGGAACTAAGATGCTAGCTGTAGTGCTTAAGATGAGAGAGTTTTAGTTGGAACCTTGGTGAAGTTTATGTGCATCTGTGTGTTTTGCAGAGCTTATGTATTGATCATTCACCAATTTAGTTACTTTTTTTTTTATCTGAAGGAACAAGTTCTCCTGGATCGAGATAGAGTTGTTTCAAAGACTTGGTATAATGAAGACAAAGATAGGTGGGAGATGGACCCTATGGCTGTTCCATATGCAGTTTCCAGGAAGTTGATTGACAGTGCCAGGATTAGGCATGATTATGCTGTAATGTATGTTGCACTAAAAGGAGATGACAAGGAGTATTACGTTGACATCAAGGTTGACCAGATACCGTATTTCATTTGATGAATTTTTAATTTTAGGCTTCTAACTCTTTTCTATGTTTGTAGGAATATGAGATGCAGTTTGAGAAATTTGGAGGGTTTGATGCTCTATACCTCAAAATGCTTGCTTGTGGAATCCCAACTTCTGTTCATCTGATGTGGATACCCATGTCAGAGCTAAGTCTTCAGCAACAGTTTCTGTTGGTTACAAGGGTGGTTTCTCGAGTCTTTACCGCAGTGAGGAAGACTCAACTTGTATCACAAGCCAAGGATATTGTGTTAGAAAGAATAAGGAATATAAACGATGACATTATGATGGCGGTCGTGTTTCCAGTTATCGAATTTATCATCCCTTACCAGGTATTACCTTACTCTCTCTGGATATTTTCTTCCTGTTTCCTTGAGTCTGTTTTTTACTTTTCAGATTTCTGACTTCTTTCTGACACAGTTAAGGCTGCGTCTGGGAATGGCTTGGCCGGAAGAAATAGATCAGGCTGTTGGCTCAACATGGTACTTGAAATGGCAGTCTGAGGCAGAAATGAACTTCAAGTCTCGCAATACAGAAGATTTTCAATGGTTCCTCTGGTTTCTAATTCGAAGCTTTGTGTACGGTTATGTTTTATATCATGTTTTCCGCTTTCTGAAAAGAAAGGTTCCAAGAGTTCTGGGCTATGGACCCTTCCGTCGAGATCCAAACGTGCGGAAATTCTGGAGAGTGGTATGCGACTGTCTTTTTTTTCCCTATGCTATCAATTTTTAGTGAGCAGTAGTTTTGTAGCTAGTATTACACCGATCATGTTTGTTGGTCGTTCAGGTTCCTTACAATTACGTATGATTACCAAAATCCGGTTTTTTTGTTTTGCAGAAATCATATTTTACGTTTAGAAGAAGGAGAATAAAACAAAAGAGAAGGGCAGGAATCGACCCCATAAAAACTGCATTCGATAGAATGAAGAGAGTGAAAAATCCACCAATCCCGTTGAAAAACTTTGCAAGTATTGAGTCTATGAGAGAAGAAATCAACGAGGTTGTGGCATTTTTACAGAATCCAAAGGCATTTCAGGAGATGGGTGCCCGCGCACCTCGGGTATGTTCCTTTGCGATTGTGTGCTTATCATGTAGGACAGAGTCTAATTGTAAACAGCCTTAATTCCTAGGAAATGTTTATTCACTTTGCAGGGAGTTCTTATTGTGGGTGAGAGAGGAACGGGAAAAACATCACTGGCGCTCGCTATAGCAGCCGAAGCAAGAGTGCCCGTGGTCAATGTTGAAGCCCAAGAATTGGAGGCTGGACTATGGGTTGGTCAAAGTGCAGCGAATGTCAGGGAACTCTTTCAAACTGCAAGAGAGTTGGTTAGCTGCTTTGTCCCAAATTGTTTTGTTGATTCATCATTTTCAAAGATATTAAACTTCGAGTTCTCATGATATTCAGGATCATGTCATCTTATGTTCTGATGTTTACTGTGATAACTAGGCACCTGTTATCATATTTGTGGAGGATTTTGACCTCTTTGCTGGTGTACGTGGGAAGTTCGTACATACAAAACAACAAGATCATGAATCTTTCATTAATCAGCTTCTTGTTGAACTTGACGGGTAAGAGCAAAAGTAGTTGTTGATTAAAAATTAAGACCAGGCTTATACCATTCATAGCGGTTCTCAAAGTATGCCCGTTATGCAATAAGAACTGCTGCATTAGCAACCCAAGTAGCTTATCTTTTTCCCACTGACCTTTATTTCTACTTATGCAGCTTTGAGAAACAGGATGGCGTAGTTTTGATGGCTACAACACGAAATCATAAGCAAATTGATGAGGCGTTAAGAAGGCCAGGTCGTATGGATAGAATATTCCATCTTCAAAGTCCAACTGAAATGGAAAGGGAGAGAATTTTACACAGTGCTGCAGAAGAAACCATGGACAGAGAACTCATTGATCTAGTGGATTGGCGTAAGGTGATCTTAAGCTGTGCAAAGTTGTTTATATGCTCTAGCGATATATATGTTTTACCTGCTGTTTGATTTATTTTGCACCTTCAAAGTTATGGATCATTTCTATTTTTCTTGTGTATGCTCTATCACGTCGTCTTTCTTCTCTCTTGCTCTCTCCTATATCTCTGCCTAGTTCTGTATTCTCTGCTTCCACTAGCTCGGTTAGTTAACAGTTCATGGTTGCAGGTTTCTGAAAAGACATCTTTGCTACGACCGATAGAACTGAAACTTGTTCCAATGGCTCTCGAAAGTAGTGCCTTCAGGAGCAAATTTCTGGATACAGATGAACTTCTGAGTTACGTTAGCTGGTTTGCGGTAAGCAATATGTATCATCTTAGCCTTTTTGTCAAACCGTTTTTGTTCAATTCTAAGTTTAGTTTCATCAGGTGAATTTTTTCTTTCTTCTGACAGACGTTTAGCCATATAATGCCCACATGGTTGCGGAAAACTAAAGTTGTGAAGACGATGGGCAAGATGCTTGTGAATCACCTTGGACTCAACTTAACCAAAGAAGATTTGGAGAATGTGGTTGATCTGATGGAACCATATGGACAGATAAGCAATGGAATGGAACTTTTGAACCCTCCTGTTGATTGGACGAGGGAGACAAAGTACCCACATGCTGTCTGGGCTGCTGGTCGTGCTCTGATTGCACTTCTAATACCAAACTTCGATGTTGTAGACAATCTGTGGCTTGAGCCTAGTTCCTGGGAAGGAATTGGGTGTACAAAAATCACCAAGGTCACAAGTGGAAGCTCTGCAAGTGGGAATACGGAATCAAGATCATATCTTGAAAAGAAGCTCGTCTTCTGCTTTGGATCTCACATTGCATCCCAAATGCTTCTTCCTCCGGGAGAAGAAAACTTTCTTTCATCTTCAGAAATAACACAAGCGCAAGAGGTAAAGTCTTTCTACTCTTTTGCAGTATCCTGTTGTCTACATACCTGATGTTTCCCGTCCGATGATTATTTTTTTTCGGTTGCGACAGATTGCAACACGTATGGTGCTTCAATATGGCTGGGGACCCGATGACAGTCCAGCAGTATACTACGCCACTAACGCGGTAACCGTTCGTATATTGTAGTCCTTACCACTAAATCAAAATGCTAGTTACATTTTAACATTGATGATTCGAGCTTACAGTTTCCATTTTATTCTGTTTTTTTTTTTATGTGATTCAATTGAGCAGGTTTCAGCTTTGAGTATGGGGAACCACCATGAATATGAAATGGCCGGTAAAGTCGAAAAGGTTCGTTTTGCTCTCTAGTTTCCAATACGTTCACAATATCTGCCATGTCTGTGCTTCTCTAGCCTTCAACAGTTTTCATTCAGCTTCGCTTTTTCAGTTGGTTCAAGCATTGTCCAAGACTAAACGTAGAACTTCTCTAATGTCATCTTATTCCTCTACAGATTTATGACTTGGCGTACGAAAAGGCAAAGGCAATGCTCCTTAAGAACCGCCGTGTCCTTGAGAAAATCACCGAGGAGCTACTCGAATTTGAGATCTTGACTCAAAAGGTAAAATCTTCACGATGTTGGGACGTTTGTGCGACTGAATATTAGAGTGAAGAAGGATGTTCCTGACAACCTCTGCTGCATAAAGAAAATCTTATCATTTTGGTTTCCTCGTTTTTGCAGGATCTAGAAAGACTTGTTCATGAGAATGGCGGGATTCGGGAGAAGGAACCTTTCTTTCTCTCTGGAACCAATTACAACGAGGCAAGTATTACGACCATCAATCCATATCAATTGTCGACCAAAATTCAGTGATTGCCTTTATTTGAAATGGAATGTTATGAACTCCACGAAATCATCAGTAAATCGAAAACCCTTATAAAAGCTGTGATACAAGCTATCTTCTTTCTAATCATATCTCTTGTGTGGCTGATTTTCTCCTGTTGCAGCCATTGTCAAGGAGCTTTCTTGATGCCGGAGATTCGTCGGAAACTGTGCTTCTTAGTGCACCAACCTAAGAAAGCCATGAAGATGATTTCATACTTTGATGATAGAGTTTCTAGCAGATTCAGGATTAAATTTATTGCTGATTGCAATTTTTGTTCTTGTGTTCACCAGATGAGGCACTTGAGATTAGTTTAGTCTGCCAAGTTTGAGACTTGAGATTCAGATTTAGATCTTCTCAACTATATAATAACTTAAAAGTTTTGTTATCCTGAGCTCCTATTATTCAACTGTCTGTGTGTTTATAATAACAATAATGAGTAATCCGTGGTAATTCATTTATCACTGCTTCCACTAATCTTTAAACACTATATAAACTTCTGTAAATCAAATTAGAGAGAGATCATCATTACATAGTTTCCGATTTTCAGATAGAGAGTGTTCTGTCAGTGAACGGCCCAGTTTTGGGGAAATTGCAGTGTACACGTGCTCGAATTTTAGTGGTGATAGTATATCTTACTGTAGGCTGAGTCGTAGGCTAAAAAGGCTTCTCATCTTCTAGACGACGGCGGAAAAGGAAGAAAGAAGTTAAGAAACAGAAACAGAACAACAAAAGCTATGGAGGAAGAGAATCAAATTTCAAATCGATTTCAACGTTTATAAAAACCTGAGCTTTTTTGTACTTTTTATTTCTCGAGAGAAAACTCTTTCACTAAATTCTCCTCGGGATTATCGGTGGCACGCAGAGTAAATAGATCCGAATCCATGGTGAAACTCATCCCGAGTTTCTGGGTTCTCCTCTTCTCAATCGCGCTTCTTTCACTCCAATTCAAGGGATCGTTTGGATCCGAATCAACTAAGGAAGCTTACGTCACACTTTTGTACGGAGATGAGTTCTTATTGGGAGTTAGGGTATTGGGGAAATCCATTCGAGACACCGGATCTAACAAGGATATGGTCGTTTTGGTCTCTGATGGTGTTTCCGACTACTCTAAGAAGCTTCTAAAGGTATTTTGGGGATTCTCATTTCTACAACCTTTCTATTCTTAGAAGCTTGAATGATCTAAAAAGAAAGGCTTTCATTTTCGTTAGATCCTATGAGAGCACCAAAATGACTCCTTTGTTTACATTGATTTGAGTTCCTGAGGGTTTTCTCTTTCTGAAGATTTGAGTTGAATCTGTTTCACTGCTCTTATGCAGGCTGATGGATGGAAAGTAGAGAAGATTACTTTACTGGCAAATCCAAACCAAGTTCATCCCAAGAGATTCTGGGGTGTCTACACGAAGCTTAAAATATTCAATATGACTGATTACAAGAAAGGTAACAAGTACGAATTAGTGTTATTGCAATTCCTAGAGCCTTTTTCTCCATAATTGTGTTTATGTTTATATGTTGTATTTTTGATTTTCACAGTTGTGTATCTCGATGCTGATACCATCGTGGTAAAGAACATTGAGGATCTGTTTAAGTGCTCGAAGTTTTGCGCTAACTTGAAGCACTCTGAGAGGCTCAACTCTGGAGTCATGGTCGTTGAACCCTCTGAAGCTTTATTCGATGATATGATGAAACAAGTGAAGACCTTGTCGTCTTATACCGGGGGAGACCAAGGGTTCTTGAATTCGTATTATCCAGATTTCCCGAATGCTCGCGTTTTTGATCCTACTTTGTCCCCTGAAGTCATAAAAACAAGACCGGTTCCTAAAATGGAGAGGCTCTCTACGCTATACAATGCAGATGTTGGTCTTTATATGCTTGCTAACAAGGTAGTTGCAGTTTCAAGTTTGATTATTTTCTGTTCTCTTGCTAAGACTAGTGATGTGATCTGGAACGTATATCTTCATCTTGTTTTAAATTGAAACATCTTAAGATTCTCATTATTTATGCAGTGGATGGTGGATGACAGCAAACTTCACATTATTCACTACACTCTGGGCCCTCTTAAGCCTTGGGACTGGTGGACAGCATGGCTCGTGAAACCTGTTGATGCTTGGCATGTAGGTCTTCTTGTCTGGTGGATGTTCATTTTAGGCTCATTATCACTGGAAAATTTAAGTTCTTGTGAGTGAGTTTTCTAAGTTGAGTTTCACCTTGACAACTGCAGAGCATTAGGGTGGGGCTTGAGGAGACTCTTCCTGGAACTGGAGGTGGAAGATCCCCAAATGATGAATTCGTTGTCAAGTTCCTTTTTTTGTTACCACTCTGTGGGCTTTTGTTCTGCCTTTATCGTTCCATACAGGTTAGACTTTTTCTCTTCTTGTACACGACCATTTCTTCACCTAAGCTAAATTTATCTCATTTGGATCTCAGTTTCAATTTGTATCTTCTGTTTTCTGTTGCAGGGACGTGACTTCTTGGGTTCATCGTGCAGGAGCTCTGTATGCAATCAGATCAGACATCTTTATTACAAAGTCAGATCTAATGGAACACTTGGCTATAGTGGTGTATCTACCATGAATTCCAACTATCAAGTTAGCTTTTTTTGCACACATTTGACCATTTACCTGCCCTTTTTTGCGTTTCTAAATGCTAAAAATGTTAAAATCTTTATCACTACAGCACCACACTGGTCCTCAGTATTTGGGGGCTGTTTCAGTTGTTATCTGTTTTGTGGCCGTTTTGACATCCATTGGAGTTTCCTTTATGATTGTGCCAAGGCAAATCATGCCATGGACTGGCTTGATTTTGATATATGAGTGGACGTTTACAATCTTCTTCCTTTTATATGGTGGCTTTCTACTTCTGGTGTATCAATATGGCAAGAAAACTGCAGCTCAAACAGGATCTCTTTCATCGCAAACAGAATCGTCATTGGATGATTCAGGAAAAGGTATGAATGTGGCATTTTCAGAACTAAAGTTTTAAAATGTATGTAATTTTCCACAATTTTGCTCTTTCTCTTTTCGCCAAGTCTACTCGTTATGTGAGCTATGTAGCAACAGACCACATGAATATGTTTTTCGTTGTTATCACTAACTTGTTTGACAAACCAACAGGTCATCAGCGGGCAGATGCGTCGTGTGACTTTACTACATGGTATTATGGATTAGGGATGGCGTTTTTGGCTTTTGCTGCCATTTCTTTGCCCTACATTTTAGGGGTCACCGCTTTATTTTTGAGGTAATTACAATGGCTGCGTCAAGAACAAACACATAACTTCAACATCATCCGCTGACAAGGAAATCTTAAATCACTTGCTTATGTTCCTCTTTGGTCTTTTCCTCGTGTCTTCATCTAGATTTCTGGGAATGTGTCTCTTTGTTGCTCAGTTTCGTACTCTTTTTGTTTTTTCGGTGGTTTAATGTACTAACAGGGCGGTTTCTGGTACATATTGAGCAGGTTGGGTCTGATGATAGCCGTAGCGATGGTTCTAGTATCGTTCATGACTTATGCTTCAGAGCACCTCGCAGTCAGATGGTTCCTGAGAGGTGTAGAAGACTGTGACACGACGAGAACAAAGTCAATCTGCTGACATCAAAAGTGTGCCACAATGGAACTCAACAACACAACTTATGATCTGTTTATTCTGTTAGGACAAACCAACTCTTGTGTTTTGTTCTTACTTTGTGCTATTATATATATCATTGTTCTCTATAAATGATTGTGGTCATATGACGAGAAAGTCGTAAATAAAGCTGCTTCTTTATACAAATCGCCTATTCACTGATGTTTTTTTACAACAAGTTTTATTTGATTTTGAAACGAAACACTTCATCACAACGCAAAACGGAACATGTGCATTAACACATAGTCCGGTTTAATTCAAGGTTATTTGAGGTTTTCGGTTCGAGGTGGTCAAACAAAATTGATCTCGGTTTGGTTTAATCTGGTTTACATTTGTATCACTCTGCTCTCTTTACCAACGAGCTGTTGTGGAGTGGATTCATTCTCTTCGTTCTGAATTTTGTTTGATTCTCATAAAGCTTTAAGTTCATCTTAACTTGTTAATGGCGAATCTGCTCTATCTTCAGCTTTCTTCTCCTTCTGCTTCACGTTTAGCCGCTGGCTTTAGACGAAGAGGCTGTTGTATGAATTGCGAGATTGAAAGTATCGCGACCCGCGATTCCTTCGAGTGCCACGCTTCTCGCGGTCGGTTCAGATTCCGCGACGAAGGGTTCGGTCGATTTGAGTTTGGGAACAGTAAGAAGAGGAGGCCGTGGTGGTTCGACGACGATGACGATGACGACTTTGACGATTTGATGATTGACGGAGAAGACTGGGGTATGGTTTTTGAGGTATTGCTTCTTGTTTTTTTGGGAAATTTCAAGGATTGTAATGTTTAGTAAGATATATGGAGATTATCATCAGAAAAGTTGCTCACTTTCAATTTGTAATCGTTTTTTCTTTCTAAAGTTCTGTAGCCAATTTGGGGTTTTTGTTCCGATTTGCAGGTATTTAGGAGTATAAGTTGGATGCTTGCACCCATCGGCATATCTTTGCTTCTTGGAACAGATTCAAACGCTGGTTTAATGGCATTAGCAGTTCCTTTAGTGCAATCCGTGTTGTCCCTTGCGTTTAGTAAGGTCTTGAGCAGGCCAAACATTAGACCTATGGAAAGAAGCAGAAGAGACTCCTTTTCGAGAACAAGGAAAGCTAGGCAAGAAGAAAACATGGGTGGTGGTGTGGATAAGGGAGGATACAAGTCATGGATGGTAGGAGATACTGATTCTGACAGCACAGGTTCTAGTTATGGCGGATGGGATGATCTAGACAAGCGAAGGGAGTTTAGAAATGAAAACCCTTCAAACGAGGATGTTCGTCCAAGGCAACAGTTTAAAAGACAATCTAGTCGGCGGTGGAGAGTTAAGGAGAAGCCGTTGCTGTTGAGGATGCTAATTGCTGCCTTCCCCTTTTTGAGTTCATGGACCAAATTGCTATATTGACAATGGATTTATCTAAAGTACTGTTTTTTTCACAAGAGTTTCTTCAGATGAATCAATCATCGTGGAATCCTAAAGGTTAGCTTTCAGTTATCTTGGAACTTAGAATACAGTAGTAGCAATGCATATAGCATATTGTGTAAGTTGAGAATATATGCCTGTCAGAGATTTGTGTTTGTATAAAATATAAAGGTGTAATGGTTCTTGTTTGTACAGACGAAAGTATTTGTCTTATTATTTTTTGATTAGCACCAATAATTGGTTATGGCCGTACCAGATGCTGCTACTGCTCTTTGGTATGAGAGAATTGGGAGTGCGTTTTTCTTCTACTTTATCTAGTCAGGGAGCAATATTACTAGAATATATGCTTTCACATTTATTTGTTTCATCTGTTATATTATAACTTTCAAATAGTTCGTTGGATGTTTTTCTTAGTGATAGTAACCAATGGCCTCATGATAAGAATCTTTCATAAAGACCCTTTTAAGAGTAAAGATCGATATCAGTTTATTGGGAATCCTTTAGTTAGCAATGAGTGATACAGTACACTGAAAACCATGATGTTTCACTAACTTCCATCGAATTATGCAAATTGTAGCAGAAAATGAGATTACAGTTTGGTTACTTCAGCTTCAGAAGCTTAGGAATACATGTACCTTAGTCTCTTTGAACTAGCTAGAGAGCTCTACTTTAAGGATGTAGAACTGATGGTGTGCCCATAAACCGTGTGATTTACTTTTCTTTCCAGGGGTTCTTGGCAATCTTGTATACTGTTGTCTGGATGAATGAGTTTCAAACTGAAGCGTATAATGGCATATTCTTTGTTCAATGACAGAAGTTACATCTGAAAACATAATCTAGGAGGGGCTTTGTACGTATCCTAAGCGTTGTCTTTTTGGTAATTCTTCTATAAGTGATTAATACAGAGTCTTATATGCTTCATGGTGATAAAGTCTAACCCAAAACTAGGAGGGGTTACATCTGAAAACATAATCTAGGAGGGGCTTTGTACGTATCCTAAGCGTTGTCTTTTGGGTAATTCTTCTATAAGTGGTTAATACAGAGTCTTATATGCTTCATGGTGATAAAGTCTAACCCAGAACTAGATCGTGAGTAGGAAAACATTATAACGAAGTAGGAGGATCGAACTTGTAGTGCTTGTCGACGAAAAGTGATACGTCCCAAGTGCAGCTAAGTCCCTTGGGGATGGTCACAAGGTCTCCTGCACCAAACTCTACAAAGTCTGATGACTCTTTTGCATACACCTTCACTTTTCCCTTCACCAAATAGCAAGTCTCACTTTCTTCAAACACCAATGCATATTTCCCCGGCTGACATGACCATCTATCGATCAGAGAGATTCATCATGTTAATACCAATAAAAATAAGAAATGGGAAACAGAGCAACTGATACTTACTTAGGCCATGACATGACTCCAAGGTCAGATAACCTTATGCTCGAAGGGTTGTGTTCGATTAGGATATTCATTTTTGGAAGAGGAATAAGGTGAATTTGACCGATGTTTCAATGCTAAATAAAACAAAGAAACGGTGAGAAAGGAAGATGGGAGGAAAGTAGGTTTAAGAGATGTATTTATATGGTGAAGGACAGAGTAGTTGATCTGCATGTGTATATATACAGGTATGAATAAAGTGACTTCTTCTTGTTTCACTTGTATTGAAAGGGATAATTAGGAGAGATGAGGAATCTTTAAAGAAGCACTTTGACCCAGAATGGATACAAAAACAAAGTCAATTAATACATCCATTAAACTGCAACTTTTACATAGTCATTACAAATCTCTGGTTTTCTACTTTTCTTTATTCTGTCAGTTAATTTGATTAGGATTGTTTCTCTAGAAGGCAAATTGGTTGTTTGGTCTTTCAACAAGCTTTTAATGATCAAATCAGACCGAGTCTCCAACCATATGGACCCATTCTGTTTTGTCCTTGCGTCCATTATGCTTTCTTTTTTTACAGTTTTACGAACCTCCTACCGGAAAATGTAGTCACCATGCATGTGGATTCTGCAGTGACCAAGTGGGTACACTCGAGAAGATATAATAGGATTGGACTTTGGTTTTGTGTAGCTTGAGACCTGCTTTTACAACGAGTACTGGATAATTCTTCTGTGAAGATTTGTTATCATATCTTCAGTAAAATTATTATAGGGTTTTTTAGTTTCGAGAATGTTTGACTGATTCTTCTTCTGTGGAAGATACGTGATAAAACCGGACATTGATTTGTGTAGCCCACCTCTAGTTTGGCTGCTTCCTCAACTGGCTCTTTTTGTCTTTTTTCATTCTAATATGTCATGGCATGTGAGGATTAGTACATTAGTACTTAAAATAAAAATAAAAATTATGTATACATGCATACATTCACATATTTATAGAGAGACTCATATTCTCGAATTTGCATGTTAGTATTTGCAAAATTCTGTCTTTTTTTTTTGTGAACCTTTGCAAATCTCTATCTTTCAGACAAGAGTAATATGAACAACCGATAAAGAGTGGAAGATAGATTCAGAAGGAAAACAAAATCTCCATGTGAACATCCTAATGACAATATATTTAGATGGTAAAAGGACAGAGTAGTTGATTTGGTCTGATCATTCATACATCGAAAACCCTTTCTTCGGGTCCCTTGTTTAATCTCAGATCTCGATTATAGTTTATGCAGAAAAGCTTGGTGTTTGTTGAGATTTAAGCTAAAAATGTAGCACACATTTCCTTTTCACAAAAAAAACATTGCACAAATGACTCTGCTCGAGATGATGAATTTCTCATAGATATATTAATGGAATAAGAACAGGATATCACTAAATAAATTCTTTATCCATGATATCCACTAAGCTTACATCACGATTCTCATTGTGCCAAACCATCTTGTCACCCAATTGTTTTAGAATTGTTCTCATAATTTGTAAACACATAATCATCGTGTCATTCATATACTAATATATAAAAAGTTAAAACATATATAAAAGACATTTAACATATATAAAAAAAATGCAAGACTAATTTGTTGCATATTAGATACATGTAATGATCGTCGTGACCAAAAAACATTGATCAACAAGTAAATAATTACGAAGAATTTTGGGATCTGTAAATTGCATACAATAATATATTAGTATTTCACAAAATATCGGAACTCTAAATGTTGAATACGAAAGAAATGTTATGCGAGATAATGTTTTATTACTTTTTTGTTACTACTTAACAACGTAACACAATATAAAAAAAAAAAGAGTTGTAATTATTTTTTTTATATAAATATCAAATCTGCTAAATATTTCAGTTTTTTTTCAACAGTAATTTTGAAGGCTACCTGAATAGTCATGGCAATCTTGTCCATTCTCGGAGTGCTGCAGCCTTGGCTGAAGCAAAGAGCAAAGGTGACAATGAGGCAGAGAAAAAGGGACTTCATGTTAGATCAAGATACTATTCTAAAAACTTATTGAGAATATCTAAAAATGAAAACATGCAAATCAAAGCTCCACGATTAACGCGATTTAGTGGATAATGTCTGAAATATATGTTTTTTTCTGGGATAAAAACTTATATATTTTTATATATCTTTGTCAATGTTCATACTAAAATTATGTATTCATTTTCGATAGTAAAATTTTTCCTCTTCAATAAAATGTTGAGTTTAATCATATAACAAAAAAATATTATATCTATTTTAATTCGATTATGTAAAATATCGACAGTCCAATACATAATATAATATTGAATATATTTTGATTTGATTATGTAAAATATAGTCAATACCAAGCCACCAGTTCCCGTGGGTTCGTATCCTACAATTAGCAAAACCAACGAGGCTATAGTTAATAATTCTCTCCATTATTAATAGGGTACGTAAAGTTGAGTCATTACCTTCCATATTAACATGATGACGTCGTACTGGTTGCTGTACGAAGATATGTTGAGTCATTTGCTCCCATCGCAAACTCACTGGGGACTTGTACAAACCCAAGACATTCCTGTTTGTTGATACGTGTCCCTCTACAGAGAAAAATAGTACGTTCATCAGTAGATAATAGGATTACAATGAATTGAGTTGCAAGTCATATAAAACGAAATAATACCGTCCAATAAACGAAAAGTCGTGGGAGGTTGTCACGATAATACTCCGGGAAAACCTGAACATTAGATTAAGCAAATCATTTTTAACTCATAGAAATTAAGGACAGGAGTCGATTAGATTAAATTGTGAGTGGTAAAATGAGAAAAGAGTTTGGAATAGACGGACCTGCCATCCAGCATCGACAGTGTTGAGGTCGTTGTAATGTCCAGCGACGAGCCAGATCTGAGAGACTGAACTCGCCGGTTCCTGGTTCTACAGTTGGAACCCACAAGTTCATGGTGCCGTGTGCTCCATACTATGACCCAAAATTATTCACAAATTAAAAGTGTTAATTATATAGTTAATAATTTGGGGTTTTACCTCGTGTCCCTCCTCGGCACGGTAAACTGGCGGACGACTACCTCGGGCGTCAAATGTTTTTTCTTGTTGATGCGTTTGGTGCTGACTGGGTTCCACACCTGCCGCACTCTTTTGTCTTTCATCGCCGGTGGTTCCTGAATTTTATTCAAAAAAAGGAAGATATATTAAGAAAATATTATAATCAAAAGAGAATAAATAAGAGTACACATGTTTCGATTGGGGGTTATCTGTTGATCTTAATTATGCATGTATAAAATAATATAAGGTCTAAGTCCTGAACATATCTTATTGACCAACCATATCTCATAAACACAAAATTCGTAACTAAAATTATTAATATCTAATAAATACATTTAAGAAACATTAAAAAAAAACATAAGCAAATAATAAGAAAATAATAAGGAAATAATAAGGAAATAATGAGAAAATAATAAGAAAATAATAAGCAAATAATAAGAAAATAATAAGAAAATAATAAGCAAATAATAAGATAATAGTATTAGTCAAATTTTAGCAATATTCAATCGTATGTTTTTCATTTTTATGTCCCTCATGAGACAAGTCAAGCTTTACATGAGGATTATTGTAACTCTCATCTCACTTGATTAATGCAAGTTAGATGTTCAAAAATAAAAATAAAAATATAATATTAATACTAGTCCGTCAATCACCTTACGGGCTTACGACTGGACTTTTCGCCAAATAGGCCTCCTCTTTCCCTACCTTTGGTTCAAATCAATTTCTGTTGTGGGCTACAAGTATCTTACGAGTGGACTTTTCACCAAATGGGCTTCTCTTCTGTAAGAAATTGGGCTCTCTTGCTCAAAAATCAAAATTAAATTAGGGGAAGAATTATAAAAAAAAAAAAACACAAAACAAAACAAGAGAATAGATCCTATATATTGCCAAATAAGCATATTTTCGGGTTAAATATTGAGATGGATTATGTATGAAATTTACACTAACAATCTGAACAACCAAATATGTATATCAGAAACTACAAGGTCGATCAGAAGCAGATACTAAGACAAGAGAAAATTATGTTTTAAGGATTCTTTTGTCAAATTATTATCGTTTTCATAAATAAATTTTGATTAGAAGAATTTTCATGAATTTGGATTTGACAACTTGTCTCCTCGGGCTTGCAAATACTATCTAGGAGTAGTGGTTTAGTTTTGTGCTCGTCTTTTTCTTTTACTTTCTAATCTCCCATCTTTAACAGAATAAATATCTGAAATTAGTGATGGTTAAACTTTTGTTTACGGATGGACATCATATAGTTTTAGTGTATAGCTTTTCAATTTAATAAATTTATATTACTTTACCTTCAGGGTAAATAAAGAGATAATAAATAGCCGGAAAAGGTTGGTTTGAGATGACATTTACCTTTTTTTAATGTTTTCTTCAAAAATCATAAAACATGATGCAGTTGGATTGGGTAGCCTCATCATGTTAATTTAAGACGTGAGCTGGTTGAGTTGGTAGATCTCTTAATTTCACTTGTATCTCTCTCTCCAATAATTTTTCTTATAGAAAGAAAAATGCATATATACCGTGTAAAAAACAAGGCACAGTTATGTGGATTAACTAGCTACAGTGGTGTAATGTTCTTTCACCAATTTATCAAACGTTAACATCAAAATGGTTTACCATTTTAATAACTATCAAGCTTATAATCCGCTTTTCAAGAAAGCATCGTATGAAAAGAACACGACCCATTTCATTAATATTAAATTATTAGTGGCCTTCATACCTTTTCTTTTTACTGAATGTTTTATTTATATGATCTTTCTAAATTAAATGCACGTGGTTGGAGCAAAACCACATCAAGTTATTGTAATTTTATATCTAATTTTAACATATAGTAACATATAGTAGTTTCTTACGTAAATATTGTCGAAATCTACAACAGGTTTTCATTGGATGCACATACTTAATCATTTCAAAATTTACACATCGGGTGTAGACAATGAGATAAGTATAACATTCAATCAAATTTCAAAGGGTTTCAAAATAATTCCATTTTAGGAGAAGAAGCAAGAGTACCATTTCTAACATTGATTACATCCAAGCAACAAACTAGACAATTTTTATGGTGTATAAGTTGGCAGCCTCTATTAATGTTTCTCTCGTCTTAAAACTCACACAACCCAAAATATACAAATTAGAACATATACTTACACAAATATATGTATATATGAACATTTACTGACTGAACCTACATATGCATTAATGTCGGTGTATATATATAACACCCTCCATATGCACTCATATTATTCGTCAACTTCGTCATCTACTCCCATCTCTCTATAACAATGGGTATCAATTATTCTCCATTAGGTTTCCTACTTTCACTCTTCTTCATTGTCACTTTTCTTGCACCACAAGTCAAATCTAGGGCTTTCTTTGTCTTTGGCGACTCTCTCGTCGACAATGGAAACAACGATTACCTTATCACCACTGCTCGCGCTGACAACTACCCGTACGGTATCGATTACCCGACCCGTAAACCCACCGGACGTTTCTCTAACGGCCTTAACATTCCCGATATTATCAGTAAGCATTCGAATTCAAGAATATGACTATGCGATATGATCTTTAGTTTAATGATTTGTCTAATATGTATCTTTCTACTAGGTGAAGCCATAGGCATGCCATCGACTTTGCCGTACCTTAGTCCGCACCTCACCGGCGAAAATCTTCTCGTCGGCGCTAATTTTGCCTCCGCCGGAATCGGAATTCTGAACGACACTGGAATTCAATTCGTAAGCAACTTCATGAATTTCTAAGTTAATTAATGCATTAAAATAACGTAGAATTATTGGGAAACTAATGCGAGAAAAAGACGTTATTACCCTCCATTAAGATGCTGGTGTAGAGGGAACAATTTATGTGAGAGTACGTACGATTTGACGAGATTATTAAAAACTCTAGTTAAAGATAAAGGTCATTTTGGTCTTTAACCATGCGTATTTCAAAACAACGCCGTTTTTCCTTTCTGTTTAAGCGCTGTCGTATTATAATAACTCAACTGCATGTTTTTTGTTTGGCAGGTGAACATAATTAGGATATCCAAACAGTTCGAATACTTCGAACAGTATCAGCAACGAATGAACGCACTGATCGGACCAGAGGCAACACAACAGCTAGTTAACCAAGCTCTTGTTCTAATCACACTCGGTGGCAACGACTTCGTCAACAACTATTATCTCATTCCTTTTTCTGCTCGCTCTCGCCAATTCGCGTTACCGGATTACGTTGTTTATCTCATTTCCGAATACGCAAAGGTCCTTAGGGTAAGGAAAATAAAATTCAAAACTTAATCCTAGTATGCTATTCTACTGTGATATACAGATTTTATTGCAATAAGGAACGAATACTTACAGGAATTTCGCTGAAACCATGAAATCTTGATTCTTACGTTATCATTTACAGCTTATTGAATTGTTGTCTCATGCATTATATGAATTCGCATTTAATAAGTGACCCTCCAATAATTCATTTCGTTATTATGTCTGTATGTCACCATGCAATTAATGTCATTGTTCTCTTGAAAAGAGGGAACATAACTTCAAAAAAAAAAAGGATGGGGCAGATTTAATAGCTTTTCTTCGTTTTTTTTAAAAAAATGTACGTAACAGTAATAACTTACGGATGCATTTTCGTAGTGCATGATAATAAATTTTTTGTTCTTCTTTAATTTGATAAAGAAACTCTACGAGTTGGGTGCAAGACGGGTTCTAGTAACCGGAACTGGTGCGATGGGATGTGCACCGGCGGAGCTGGCTCAGCATAGCCGCAACGGCGAGTGCTATGGCGCTCTCCAAACAGCAGCCGCTTTGTTCAATCCGCAATTAGTTGATTTGATCAAATCGATCAATGCTGAGATCGGTCAGGACGTTTTTGTAGCAGCCAATTCCTATCAAATGAACATGGATTATCTATCTAATCCTGAACAATTCGGTAATTATATAACCCGCCTCTTTCTATCTTTTTTTTTTTTTTTTTTACTAATTAATTAGAAATCTAAATGTTTTATAAAAAATGGAGAAGTCTCGAAAGGGTTTAGTTATTTGTTATTGATTTCGAATTATAAGGAAAAGGTACTATTCAATCAAAGAGTGGATCAACAAGATTTAATACTATAAAGCACAAAAGGACCATTTTTGGAGTACTGCTATAGTATATAGTATTGTATGGGTACGAAAGTTATAAATGAGCATGACCACCGTAGGACCATCTTTTCGTACATGTTATTACATTTATACATTAAATGATTTTACTTCACATTTTTTTTTTCAAATAAAAATAAATAATAAATACGTATGTGTCGGTTTCTATACATAAGCAGACTCATACTATTAGGAGTTTTTAATAGAAGGAACTGTCTGGTCTTTAAATGGTTCCATTTGATTTTTTTTTTTAGAAAATAAGAAATTCACTCGGAAAATATTCTAAATGCGTGCATAAGAAAATACATATAGTAGCTGTAAGCATTTATTTGTGTCTTGATTCTAGACAAACAAGTACTGCACATGAACAAAAAATATTGAACAAGTATTTATGATTTATTATATATGATAATCTTCTGTGTATATATCGACATTTACATACCGCTTGAATAATTACATGTATATATGTGTATGTGTAGGGTTTGTAACATCGAAGGTGGCATGTTGTGGACAAGGGCCGTACAATGGCCTAGGACTATGCACACCAATCTCGAACTTGTGTCCAAACAGAGACTTATATGCGTTTTGGGATGCGTTTCATCCAACAGAAAAAGCCAATAGGATCATTGTTAGTCAGATCCTCACTGGTTCCTCCAAGTATATGCACCCTATGAACCTTAGTACCGTCATGCTCTTAGATTCTTCTAGAATCTAATTTAAGTGATTAAATTCAATTAAATGTCAAAGGTCTTGCCTTTTGTAGTTTGTATTGTTGATTAATAAGTTTGATCAGCATATTTAGTTTAATTATGAGGGTTTTCTTTTCGGTGATGATGTGGCTTGATGCCTCTGCTTGTTGTATCTTAATTACCTTAGTTCAGTATATTTTTTTCTTATGCGTGTCTACCAAATTATCATGTAACGTTTGGAGTGATTGTTATATGGATTTCGTGTCTACTCGAGATGTTTGATTCAACTATATTATGATATACATATGACTACCACATGCGTCATGGTTATAAATGATAATACTCCATACATATGACTACCACATGCGTCATGGTTATAAATGATAATACTCCATGTATTAGTTATTTACTAATAGTAAACTGGTAACTGTACATAGGTTCATAACAAATTAAAGGACTATCAAATACTTTAAGCTTTTGGAAAAAACTGATTACTCAATATAAAATCTTTAAAATTATGACGGTATATTGGGAGTCTGATTTTTTTCTTCGGGTTAATATTCGTATTATTTGTCTTTGTTTTCTTTTAAAACTAGACTCCTTAAACTAAAACCGTTGTGAAGAGCTGTTAAAAAAAAAAAAAAAAAACAGTTGTGAAGATAATTTAGTCGTTTATAGAAATAAATGGCTAAATTGTGTAAATATAAGAACTGCTCAGCATGAGAGTCACAATTTAACACTTATATTATACACGACATATCTATATATTATATTTATGTACTGTTGCATTGCATGTTATGATTATGATCTGTGTACTTTTCCGAAAAATTCTTGTCGCCATACTCTACTGTGGTAATGAATCATTAATATGTGAAGGAGGGAAAGAGTACAACAGAAGTTTGTTGAGGGCCTTGAGGCATTTCGCAGACATTGAAATGTGAAAAATAGTAAAGGATTTGAGTTTAGTTGGTGAAGTGGGTGAATTTTTTTATGTCCATTGTGTATAAACTATGTGTATAGAATTATATTCATTCACTCTACTGACATTTATTGATGGGCCATTCTCAATTATCACAGCGTCAAACCATACATGCAATTTTAACTGTCATTTATCTTTGATAAAATCAACAAACCTGTACTAATAAAATTGAGATATTTAGCGTTTAACTAATTCTCAAGTATTCACTACAGAATTTTGTTTTTTAGACGTCAAACAAGTTCAAGTGTCGATATATCATTGAAATGGAATAATGAGAAACTGTAATATTATGATATACAGCATATAAATAACAAAACTGATCGGGGAACTCCACATTAATGCAGACATGGAGGAGATCCCATAATGCATATACATTGGGTCTTAAATTTTTGGAAGTGGAAATTAAAGTCCATATTGGGTGTTTATTTATAACAACACCAAAGAAAGAAGTAAGTATTAATCTATTGCAAATGACTACCGTTTACAAATTACAATTGACATATCTATTAACTATATCTCTCGTGTATTTGACTCTGTCTACAACACGCATGACAGAGACAAACAGCTATATAAGTGTAACACGGAACCACTACAATGCTGTTTCTGAAAAAAAAAATTTGTGAGAAAGATTTTTTATGTATATTAAAAATTGCATCTATAATCTGTAGAAAACTGCATTCTCGTGGGATTAAATTTGAGATATATGGTGTAGAAAAGTAAAAAACCCTTACGTCAATTGTTGGATTAAAGAGCTTCCGATTTGTTGTGTTAATTTTAATGATTATCTATTTTATAGTAACATATAATCAACATTAATTGACATTGTATTTTTTTTTTTAACGGACAAATTAATTATCTTACAACGGTCCACAAAAAATATACTTGTAATTGTTTACCTCCAGATAATAATAATAAAAAAAAATTGACATTGTAGGGGACCACAAGTGTATTTACTGTTTAGAATTTATTACTATCAACTTGTATGCATATACATATAGGCCTTATTTGTATTGAGCCCAATGGGCTATTAAATTAGTGATTGTTATTTTTACCTATAGTTTTTTAAAAATCTTTTAACCTATAGATTTTGTTTTATTTATATACTCCTTTCTATTTTGGTTTTATAATTCTAATTGTTTAGGCAATCTTATGAATGATTAGAAACAGAACTATCAAGCCAATGTGATTCTACCCATCTTGTAATGATAAATCTTTACCTTCAATTTTGTTTATAACTTCGTTTTTTCCAAACTTAAACAAGAGTAAATCATTGCCTTATCTATGTCATTTCTAAAATTGTTTTGGAGCGATTGTTTCCAAGGCGCAACACGGTCTAAAGACTAGATTTAACACATAGAATCATAATGATTCCTTCGGTCGGATTTTGGTCGAGACGGAAGTTATGGAAAGCATTTTTGTGTAAATATGAATTTGGATTTTTAAAGCTTTGTTATATAATCTTTACGTTGACACTAAACCGGAGATCCAATGTGATCGATGTAATTCAAAGAGCCTAAAAAGAAATTTTATTAATTTCACAAAAAGACCATTGTCAATTTACGAAAAAATTTTGGAAAAAAACTTCCTTTTTCTTGAAAGAAAAAAAATAAGTAAAGGGTTCGTATGAAAAAAAGCGAGCAGAAGTCCAGCTGTTGCATTATATGAAACAACACTTTTAATTACCATATCCCATCGATAAATTAACGATTTATTTTGGCTTTTGGGTAAAAGTAACCTTCAAACTATCTAGCATTCACGAAAAAGGGTTATAACTGTTGGAAAACAAACGTACCATAATTTTAAAAAAGTACCGTAATGCGTAGGCTTTTAAAAAAACTAAAGTATGATTTTTATTGTTCATTTTCTACTGTTGTACTATACACTTTTTAAATAGCCAAGAAAAAATTCCTAAGAGGCTATTACGAACTCAACTTTTGAACGCTGACAGAAACTAATATATGCTGTTGAAGTGTTTAATCATACGAGACTTGTAGTGTTGACTGTTGAAACACTAACTTTCTGCTCCATGATAATATTTCTTCTATATATCTTAGAACATTGATTTAATAATTAATGATCTTCTTAACCGCTCAAGAAAACCTTAAACTAATGTTCAAAAAAAAAAACCCTTAAACTTACATTTCTTATGCCTAAATAATCAAATCAAATACTTTCTTTGGTTTATTTATAAACAATATGAACGAAATTAATACAAGGAATATAGAATCTGATTATGATCTAGATGAATTAATTAAAGATTGTTTTTTTTTCACTTAAGCTTTCGTATGTATTCTTAAAATTTGTTCATCATTCTAACTTAATTATTCTCATATTACAACTTTGTTAAAAAAAACTCAATTTGAACAGTGTAGATTACATTTCAGCCAAATTCATGTAAAAAGATGCTTTTCTTTGTGACGTATAAAAGTATGCTTTCTTTTCACTTTTTCTAACTATATATATTTCGAACATTGTCTACGTTCGTAGAACACAATTCACAATCTTCTTTAGAATCCAAAATCGTAAGCCACTTTCTAATCTTTTTTCATTGTACATATGTAATAATACGTATGCACATATAGAAAATTATATACAAACACAAAATCATGCATGCAGGAAGATAATCACAACACACACAAAAAAATACACATGCATGCGAAGTTGTATGTTAATTTCCATATCGTTTCATTTCAGTCTTTATTTTATTTTTGAACTTGCTTTTTTTTGTATGAAGATTGTTTGAAAACAAAATCGAAGATGGCAACAAAATCCACGGGAGATATCGAGAAAACCAAGTCAATAGAAATGAAGAAGAAACTAAACGTGTTGATCGTCGATGATGATCCATTAAACCTCAAAATCCACGAGAGGATCATCAAAACGATTGGAGGAATTTCTCAGATGGCGAAGAATGGCGAGGAGGCAGTGATCATCCACCGCGACGGCAGGGCATCTTTCGACCTTATCCTAATGGATAAGGAAATGCCGGAGAGGGATGGAGTTTCGGTACAATTAATAATCTTAGTTTGTATACGAAATACAAATTATCTAGTTCGATACACTAATTAATCTCCTCTTTAGTATACTAGTTTTTACTTTTTATATTCTTTGTTAATTTTAAATAGACAACTAAGAAGCTAAGAGAAATGAAAGTCACGTCAATGATTGTTGGGGTGACATCACTGGCTGACCGTGAAGAGGAGCGTAGGGCTTTCATGGAAGCTGGACTTAACCATTGCTTGGCAAAACCCTTAACAAAGGAGAAGATCCTCCCTCTCATTAACCACCTCATGGATGCTTGATGGACGAATTGTCATCATACATATGTTATATTTATGAGAAAAAAACATAATAACGTCAACATATACACGTGTATATGTATGCATATATATATATATGCTTGTTTGGGATTTAGGGTTTTTATGTTTTGTGTTTATCCTCTCCGTGGTGTAATCATGTAAGTCGTTTCTTTTGGCTTCTAATTAAACTATTAAAATATGTATTCTTCTGAGACCAAAACAAAAATTAAAAAACATTTTCTTTTGTTAAATGAATTGATATATATTTATATATACATATACTTCGTACTATTACATATCATTTATATATATGGCTCAATCACTTTACAGACCAACTAAAAAAAGTTAATATATATTTTTTTATCCATTATGATTTTAAATAAATATGGTATTTATAAAATAGATCTAAAGATAACATATATAAATGATGTTAAAGATAATTTACTCTGTTTGCATAAACTGATTTAAATTGAATCTAACTACATATATTTCTGCTCCGTTTATATTTTGTTTTTCAAAAAAATATATCTTTCTTAAAATCATATTTGAGTGATATTTTTTGTTTCGTTCTCTTTTGATTTCTCTATGTTTTATATTATTATAATTTCAACCAGATAATTTCTATGTCAGTTCCAATCTGTACGTATACTAGATATAGAAAGATTATTAAGATTTTGTTCTTCGCATACTTTATATTGTTTCCAACACTGTATGTCATAAAGAAGATACAGCATATTTTACTTTGAATTTGATAAGTTTATGCAAAAAAGAGTAAATTCTAATTTCAGCGGTTTATATCATCTTATCTAGATTTGATTAAGCATTGTGTGGTATACATTGACAAGTACATATACTGATGTTGCGCTAGATATGGTTCTAGAATTTTTTCCTTTGTGACTTTTATTTTTATAATTGATCACTGTCATTTGATCAAGGTTCTAAATCGAACGTCTACAAATGCATATATATATTATTTTTTTGTTGAAAAAAATACTTCCGTAGTATATATACTTTGATTTTTCACTCTCTCCTATACATGCAGACGAATTAACATGCAGCCCGTATATATACCCAATTAAAAGATCGGGTTCATCCAAACATCGTCGTTTAGATAGGCGTCGGATCAATTAAATATAGCCTAGATCACATTCAACTGAATGTATATATACAATTAAGTTTTGTACGGCTGCATGTTCTGGTATCAATCGGATAACTAAAGATCAAAATAAATCACGTATCTACTTTCTTGCATTTGACAATTCTAGCTTTTCAAAACAGTAAAATGAATTTACAAGATCCTTTTCTTTTCTCTTTGTTCTCTGGAGTGTCCTTATATCCTTCTGCAGCTAAAACTCGCGAGTCTAAATCTATCAAGCTTTGGTAATGCCAGTGTTAAAAGTGGAATTACATATTCTGCCCTTTTTATTTGTTTTGTTTATAATTTCATTATTTCGCTTTCAAAACATATTTCTAATTTATCTCTGCTGGAAAGTTCAAATTTGCTACATATTTAGGCAAACCAATATTTTATTTGGCTTCTACGGTGTATTAGTTTGATTCGGCGATGCTTGGGAGCTTGAACCCGAAAACAAAGGATCTAACTGTTCGAATATATCCTATGTAGTATGTACCATAGCTTTTTGACGTTTTGGTTTTAAATTAGATAAATAAAATAATGTAGCTCAAGTAATATTATTTGTTGTAGAATAACTATTAATATATATTAAATTTTGCTTATAGTTAGCAGCACTAGACAAAAATGATATTAAACACCGTATTACCGTGAGAAATGATTATTAACAAACCGCGACCGACGACAACAAAATTCAAATGATTTGGCGCAATCAGTACAAGCATTTATAGAGTTTGATCGTCAATTCAAAATTTATCCGTGTTCAATCCTAGTTTTAGTTGTGCAAACTGTTTATTTATGTTACTAGATTTTCTAAGTTTGGACGCTTGAATCAAAAATAGATTGTGGAGTGCTCTTAATTACTTGAATGATCTATCCATCTTCGTGCAACCGGAAAATTATAAAGTGAAACTCATAGTAATTAATCAATCTATGGAAAATTATAAACTGAAACTCATTCTAATTATTATATCTTGTTAAAAAAAAACTAATGAACGGTTTAATCATTTACTATAGTATGATATAGTTTCTCTTTAATTTCTTCTCACTTGGTTAGGCAATTAAGATGCTACGAGAGATGGAAGTGACGAGGATGATGCATTTAACATTTGGGAAGATCGACTCGATCTTGGGCCAGCTCAAAAACGCATGATGTGACACGAGAGATAGTTTTCGTTTTTACTAAAAACCAAATATATAAACGCATGATGAATCTACTGCATATGGCTGCGTCGGTGAAACAGGTGATGAATTCATAGGGATCATATGGTGTGTTTATAGACCGGTTAGGTGGATTTAAATCCGTTATTTTGTATCAAAAACTTATCATAAGAACAGTAGGTAGATTATGGTCCATATATAATACAATAGTATCATAGATATCTTACTGTTTATTTTATGTTATTGTCTGACAATTTATTCTACTAGGAAATAATAGATATATATCATGCTTTAATAATATTCTCTCTTTAAATATTTGATAATGATTTTTAGATTTGTTTCTTTATAAATCATATGGTAAAAAAAAAAACTATGATCTAGACGAATTAACCATTCCTCGTAGTATAAATATACTATATGTTCATGAGTTTTATATACTTCTCATATCAATTATTTAACTATATAGCATACAAGAAATTTGGCACCGTGGTTAACATCTCAATATGTTTGTAAGTACTGTATACTTTTGATTAGAGCAAGTTATTTTTCACCTATTCATATTGTTTTCGAAAACACTTGATGAATATTATCGACAAAATAAAGAATTATCAGCGATCTAATAGTTTAACAATGATTTACAAGAAAAAACATGTATTATATATTGTGGATTATAGTCCGACTAAATTTGTGAAAAACCACCAGTTCAGATCAGACCACATACGAGTCCATATTAAAAAATAGATAAAAAGATTTGAGGAATTGGTCCCAGTTCGGTTTTGGCTTTTGACTTGTATTGTTATGTTACAGAACCTAATTAAGAATACTAAAACCATGCATGCATGATATGATTACACGAAAACACATAACCTTTTGGATGTATATAAAGCTGCATATATGCGAAAAATGATATGTTTACACCGTTTCTAATAACTCGAAATAGTACAAGCATGAGGAATATTCAAAATAAACATGATGGGCTTTTGTTAATTTTGTTGGTTATTATTGTGAAGTGTTGTTTCAGATCAAAGACGGAGGAAGAAGAATCAACAGACGACCTCGGGAAGAACATGACGCTGGAATATAAGAAGAAATTTTTGGTTTTGGTCGTTGATGATGATCCACATTGCCAAACAGTCCACCTGGCCATCATCGGAGCGGCCGGGGGGTTTGGTTACCTGGCCGAAAACGGTGAAGAGGCGGTGAACCGCTACCGCGATGGAGAGTACTTCAACCTTATCATCATGGATAATGAAATGCCTCTGATGGATGGAGTTACGGTACGTACCATATAGATTGTGGAGTGTTCTTTCTTGAAAGATCTATTCATCTTCGTGTAACCGAAACATTTTAAACTGAAACTCATACTAATCAATCTATGCGATTTATAGACACAAATTAGATTTAATTAGTATCTTTTTAGAAAAATAAAAAAAAATAAGGACAGGTTAATTTGATCATTCACTAGGTTGATATACATTAGCTTCTCTTCTCTTCTCATTTTGTTAGGCAACTAAGATGCTACGAGACATGGAGGTAACGTCAGTGATCGTGGGGATGACGTCACATGAGGACGAGTATGATGCATTTATGGAAGCTGGAGCTGACCACTGCTTGGAAAAGCCCTTAACATTTGGAAAGATCGACTCGATCTTCGACCAGATCAAAAACGCATGATGATGCACGTGTGATAGTTTCGGTTTTACTAAATATCAAATATACAATACGAGAAATATTTTGATGAAAAATGTAATAGTAATGTGTAGATAAAAGCATTATTTCGAAGCGACAAAAAAAAACCCTATCTTCAAATTTTTGTTTCCTTGCTATTTAAGATATCCAACATCAACAAGTATAATTGAAACACAAAGTCCACAATGAACGGATACAAATTAGAATGTTCGAGCAGACAGTACCACACCATCTAGGTATCTTCACTCCTCTAGCTTCTCTTGCTTTCTTCAGCTTAGCGACTCTTTCCTCAAGCTGAAACACACAACAAAGATGATGAAAATGAAATAATAGCAGTGTGTGCTTCTTTGATTTTGTTTTTACCTCTTTCATTTCCCTAGCACCCTGAACAAGCTTGCCTTCAGGACTATGCAGCTTGGTGCAAGCTTAATACCCAAGAAACAAATTAAAGAAAATTTAATCAAATTCCTGTAGGGAACAAATAAACTCTCTCTCTCTCTCTCTTTATCATTATCAGATTTCTCGATTTACCTTCGCAACGACACACCTCACGGCATGATCTGAAATTAGTTAGGGTTTCGCTCTTCTTCTCGTCACACTGATTTCGTCAAAAAAAAAGTGAGCGGGGAAAAATATGTGTGGTATCAATAAGTTATCTATTGTCGACCGGTGGGCCTTAGGCCCTTAGCCAGATTTTACGCTGTTTTTATTCCAGCTATACTGTTGGGCCTTAACCCAAATTGTTCGGGTTTACTGATGGGTTACCGGTTTATTTCGGTTCAATCATATGTATTTCGGTAGTTTTTCAAAATCAAACTGTCTTTGAAATGATGACGGCTGTTTTCGAGAGACCTAAACGGTGGGAGACGACAGAAGGAGTGGTAGTACAGTGATCTTCACGTGATCGTCGATTAATATAATTAAGTATGAAATTAAAATTATCTAAAGTTTCAAATCACTTTATCCATTCCCCCAGTAAAAAGAATTATCTTAAGACTTTGGAGAGCCAAAAATGTCTCTCTTCTTCCTCAATCCTCCGTTTCCCTCCAACTCAATCCACCCGATTCCTCGTCGCGCCGCCGGATTTTTCTCCGTTCGGTGCTCAATTTCCGCTCCTGAGAAGAAGCCGAGGAGGAGGAAGAAGCAGCAGAAGAAGCGCGGCGACGGAGCGGAGAATGACGACTCCCCATCCTTCGGCAGCCGCGAAGCTGTCTCCGCGCTGGAGAGGAGTCTCCGCCTCACATTTATGGACGAGCTCATGGAACGAGCCAGGAATCGTGACCCATCAGGTGTATCCGAGGTTATCTACGACATGATCGCCGCTGGGCTTAGCCCTGGACCACGTTCTTTCCATGGCTTGGTCGTGGCCCACGCGCTTAACGGCGACGAGCAAGGCGCGGTATATGCTTCTCTATAGCTTGGTTTTAGATGTAGACTGTATAATCTGCAAGAAATCATATAATGCTGGTGTCAGAACTCCAATCATTGTTTCATAGAACTTGAGCTATGGTTTGAGAGAGTAACACATTTTTAACTAAATTTTCAAATTGGGACTTTCCTCCTCTCTCTCTCTCTCTCTCTCTCTCTCTCTCTCTCTCTCTCTCTCTCTCTCGTATGTTGTGGTTGAAGTGAAAGAAATTTTCTTTTCTGGTGTGTATGGGTGATTGCAGATGCACTCACTGAGAAAGGAGCTAGGTGCAGGCCAACGTCCGCTTCCTGAAACGATGATTGCTATGGTGCGACTCTCTGGCTCAAAAGGAAATGCTACGAGAGGCTTAGAACTCCTTGCCGCAATGGAGAAGCTTAACTATGACATTCGTCAAGCTTGGCTAATTCTTGTTGGTAAAATCTCCCTCGCCAAGACCAAGTGTTAGAATCAAATGCTTGTTGCCTTTTGTCTACCATGCTTGGTGTTACTGAGTAATCGTTTGTAATTGGATTCTGGTCTTTTTATAGAGGAGCTCATGAGGACCAACCACTTGGAAGATGCGAATAAAGTTTTCTTGAAGGGTGCTAGAGGTGGGATGAGAGCAACCGATCAGCTTTATGATCTGATGATTGAAGAAGATTGCAAAGCTGGAGATCATTCTAATGCCTTAGACATCTCTTACGAAATGGAGGCAGCTGGTAGAATGGCGACAACGTTTCATTTCAACTGTCTGCTTAGTGTGCAGGTTTGTTATGGTATCTTGAAACTTATTCACACGTTTGTCTTAACGAAGATGGTAAGTCTTTTTGTTGATGATATCAAATAGATTTTCTTTACCTCCATTGTCTAGGCTACATGTGGGATTCCCGAGGTAGCTTATTCTACATTCGAAAATATGGAGTACGGTGAAGGTTTGTGTTTTCCTTTAGCTAATTGTTTGTTTTTGTTGTTGCATGATGGGTTCTTACATAGCTTAATCTAATCTTGATTCGATAGATTTTATGAAGCCCGACACGGAGACATATAACTGGGTGATTCAAGCCTATACAAGAGCCGATTCATATGATAGGTAATTCATATGAGGTTTAGTTGCACACATTTATCTCAAAAGTGGACAGGGTTTCAGGTAGCCTGTTGCGTGAATCACAGGGTTCAAGATGTTGCTGAATTACTTGGAATGATGGTTGAGGACCACAAACGAGTGCAGCCAAATGTGAAGACTCATGCGTAAGAGAATCTATATTTCATTCTGTCTTGTACTCATTTATACCCGCGTTGCTTTTCTACCTGCTCTGCAGTAAAAATCCTAATACTATCTGTATAATGATTGATTTCAGGCTCTTAGTTGAGTGCTTCACAAAATATTGTGTTGTGAAGGAAGCAATTAGACATTTTCGTGCTCTGAAAAACTTTGAAGGAGGAACAATAGTTTTACACAATGCAGGGAACTTTGAGGATCCTCTCTCTTTATATCTCCGGGCATTGTGTCGAGAAGGTATACACTTGTACATACCTGTGTACTAAGGCATATGTTGAGTACCTTCGAGGAAATTACGAGATTTTACTATTAGAAGTAGAACTATTTATAGTTATGGTTCCCTATTTTGCATGTTTCTGTTATTAGACTAAGTGCTAGTGACATGCTTTTTTTCTTCTTCATTTGTAAATGTACTGTGTTTAAAAGATACTCTCTGGCTTTACCTTTGAACCAGGAAGAATTGTTGAGCTTATTGATGCTTTAGATGCAATGCGCAAAGATAACCAACCTATACCTCCAAGAGCCATGATTATGAGCAGAAAATATCGAACACTAGTCAGCTCATGGATTGAACCATTGCAAGAAGAAGCTGAACTTGGCTATGAGATTGATTATTTAGCAAGGTAAAAAAACTAGATTATTGCATGGTTTGTCTGGAATTATGTTGATCATATTCGATGCTCCTATTTAGAAAAAACGTTAATGCTCTGTTCATTTTTTTCTGAAAGAAAGTATGGTTTTTATTTTATTTACATCATCTTGTCTTGATATATTAACAATTGGCAGTCTGTAAACATCTTCAGGTACATAGAGGAAGGGGGGCTTACTGGTGACCGCAAGCGTTGGGTACCTCGAAGAGGGAAAACACCTTTAGATCCCGATGCTTCTGGGTTTATATATTCAAACCCTATGGAAACATCCTTCAAACAGAGATGTCTTGAAGATTGGAAAATTCACCACAGGAAGCTCTTGAGAACCTTACAGAGTGAAGGTCTTCCAGTTCTAGGAGATGCATCAGAATCTGATTACATGAGAGTGATGGAGAGATTACGGAACATAATAAAAGGTCCTGCACAGAATCTTTTGAAGCCGAAAGCAGCAAGCAAGATGGTTGTATCAGAGTTAAAAGAAGAACTTGAAGCTCAGGGTTTGCCAATTGATGGAACGAGAAATGTTCTTTACCAGCGTGTCCAAAAGGCAAGGAGAATAAACAAATCTCGAGGTCGACCTCTCTGGGTTCCTCCAATTGAAGAAGAAGAGGAGGAGGTGAGTCTATGCTCCTTTCTTTCAGTCGGGGAAACATGTAGCTTGAGTACTTGACTCATGTGAAATTTTTTGTTTTTAATATAGGTTGATGAAGAAGTAGACGAATTAATATGTCGTATCAAGCTACATGAAGGAGACACGGAGTTCTGGAAACGCCGGTTTCTTGGAGAAGGCTTGATTGAAACATCAGCTGAATCCAAGGAGACGGCTGAATCAGTAGCTACAGGTGAGTCAGAGGACACGACTGAAGGTGTTGCAAAAGAAGCTGGTGAGGACGAGGATGATTATGAGGAGGAACAGGAAGGGGATGAGGATGATGATGAAAATGAAGAGGAAGAAGAAGTGGTGGCTCCCGAAACTGAGAATCGAGCAGAAGGAGAGGATTTAGTGAAGAATAAGGCAGCTGATGCCAAGAAGCATCTTCAAATGATTGGAGTCCAGCTCTTGAAAGAATCCGACGAAGCAAACAGAACGAAGAAACGCGGGAAGAGGGCGTCTCGTATGACACTCGAGGTGTGTATGTATAATAACCTACTACGATATGCTTATGATTTAATCAGTCACATGTTCATGAGTCTAATAGTTAGAGCATGTTTTCACAATGGTGATTCCCGCCATCAGGATGATGCAGATGAGGATTGGTTCCCCGAGGAACCATTTGAAGCATTCAAAGAAATGAGGGAAAGAAAAGTGTTTGACGTGTCGGACATGTATACAATAGCAGACGTTTGGGGTTGGACATGGGAGAAGGATTTTAAGAACAAAACTCCAAGGAAATGGTCACAAGAATGGGAAGTGGAGTTGGCAATTGTGCTCATGACAAAGGCAAGAGACCTCTAACGCAAATATTATATAACTGTTTTAATTATGATCCATCATGTTAACATGATAATATAATACGTTATGATGAATTTGTGTAGGTGATTGAATTGGGTGGAATCCCAACGATTGGTGATTGTGCGGTGATATTACGAGCTGCTGTAAGAGCTCCCATGCCTTCAGCTTTCTTGAAGATCTTGCAGACGACACACAGTCTTGGCTACTCTTTTGGCAGGTTAACTCAGTTTACACTCTTTGGGTTAATT